CGCCCTCCGTCCTCACAAGTGCCGCATTAAGATAAAACGTGTGCGTGGCGCCAGGGCCAGGGCAGCATGCTGAAAGCTATACACCCTGCAGGCGCCTACGATTTGTTGGGCGCTCCGAAGAGGAGGCTCGGCTTGCTGCAGATGCGTGTGCTCCTGTTCCGCCAGGCTGGAGGCCGTCCCTGACGGCCCCCCCTGGGGGCTTCGTTGCCCCCATGGAGTGGGAGAGGGGGAGGATCGGGATCGGGAGGGCCGCGCGGGGACAATCGGGGGGGGGGGAGAAGGAGGAGGAGGAGGAGGAGGAGGAGGAGAAGGAGGGCGGAGGAGGAGGAGGAGGAGGAGGAGGAGGATGAGAAGGAGGAGGGGGAGAGGATGAAGGGAGGACGAAGGGAGTAGGGTGAAGGGAGGATGCAGGGCGAAAGGCAGTGGGAAGGGAGAGGGAGAAGAGGGTGGATGAAGGGAGGATGAAAGGAGCATGGAGGGAGGACGCAGGAGCAGGAACGGAGGACGGAGGGAGGAAAGAGGGAGGAAGGAAGGAGGAGGTGGATGGGGGGGGAGGAGGAGGAGGGGAGGAGGAGGAGGTGGAGGGGAGGAGGAGGAGGAGGAGGAGGAGGAGCAGGAGGAGAGGAGGAGGAGGGGAGGAGGCAGGAGGAGAAGGAGGAGGAGGAGAAGAAGGAGGAGAGGAGGTGGAAAGGATGAAGGAGGAGGAGGAGGAGGAGGAGGAGGAGGAGGAGGAGGATGAGAAGGAGGAGGGGGAGAGGATGAAGGGAGGACGAAGGGAGGAGGGTGAAGGGAGGATGGAGGGCGAAAGGCAGTGGGAAGGGGGAGGGAGAAGAGGGTGGATGAAGGCAGGATGAGAGGAGCATGGAGGGAGGACGCAGGAGCAGGAACGGAGGACAGAGGGAGGAAAGAGGGAGGAAGGAGGGAGGAGGTGGATGGGAGGAGGAGGAGGCGGAGGCGGAGGAGGAGGAGGCGGAGAAGGAGGAGGAGGAGGGGCAGGAGGAGGAGGGGCAGGAGGAGGAGGAGGAGGAGGAGGAGGAGGAGGCGGAGGAGGAGGAGGAGGATCTTTCTGTTTGGGGGGGGCGGCCCGTCTCGCTGCCGCGCGTCACTCCCCTCTTCGGGCGTTCGAGGGCCTGGGGCCTTGGAGCCCCGCTGGTGTCGGTGTCGCAGGGCGGGGGGAGGATGCTCTGCCACGCGGCCCCCAAGGCGCCCAGGGTTGTTGGGCGCTGCGTAATGGGGGGGTCGTAAATGGGGGGGTGGCGAGGGTGGTCCGAAAAGGTACCCAAACGGTACCTAAACGAGCCCCCTGGGGCGCTGGAGGGGCCCGAAGGGGACACGAAAGGGGACCGTTTCTGACCCCCCCATTTGCGACCCCCCCATTAAGCCACGCCCAAGGTTGTGGAAGTCGATCAATGGAGAGGAAGCGTGCTGCCCCATGATTTCCAGATGTCTAAACCGTGTTTCAAATCTGTTTCAAATTCCCCCATCAGAGCTTGCCTCTGTAGGGGTCCTAGCGGATTCATAGGGTTAGGTTGGGTTTGCCGCCGATTTTCGCCGCACGCCGGGGTGCCCGGGGGTGCCCGGGTGCCCAGGTGCCTATGGGGGTGCCTGGGGGTGCCCGGGGGCTGGGGGGCCCGGGGGCCCGGGGGTGCCCTATAGCCCAATAGCCTTATAGCCCTACAATTCTATAGCCCTATAGTTCTATAGCCCTATAGCTCAATAGCCCTATAGCCCTATAGCTACCTAGCCCTATAGCCCTGATTGTTTTTGTTTCTCCGGCATCATGTGTAAAACATGTTTGACATTGATTTAGAACATGTTTTACACATTTTAAACACATCTTGAATTCAATGATCGGATTGTTAGAGTGTCCATTGCCATGACATCCACAAGCCCATGAAGCGCCGAGATCCCCTATCCAATCAAACCTACACCAGGGCCAGAGACCCTTGGAGGCGAGGCGAGCAGGCGGCCCAAACCGGCGGAGGGGGGAAGGAGGGGGAGAGAGAAAGAGAGAGAGAGAGAGAGACAGAGAGAGAGAGAGAGAGGCGGAGGACGAGAGAAGAGACAGACAGGGGCGGGCTGACAAGGAGGAGACATCCACGTTCACACATCTTCTCTTGTGCGATCTGCGTTTGCACTTGGCGCGTTGGGGACGCATGACGTGCGTACGACTTCAGCGGCCGGCGGCAGGCCGTGTCGTCTCTCTATCGTTTTCTGTGCATGCATGGAACGTGGCCGGTTCCCAGAGGACTTTTGGAGGAAGGCGGAGGGCGCCATCGCCGCGGGGCACGGCCGTTGCCAAGGGCCCATCGCCGCAGCAGTTCGCAGCATGCCGGCTTTGCAGCTGGGCGCGGACGTGGCGTGCTGGCAGGGCGTCCCGTCGGCGCCAGCAGGGCGGCGGCCCGCTGGCCAGGCCTTGCAGGACACGCGGGCGGTTCTGCATGCGGCATGGACGCGCCGCGAGGCCCGTGAGGTCGCGTCCAGGCGTGCCGGTTTTGCTCACCTCGCAGGGGGCATAGATCGGTGGGCCACCCGTCGCCTCCTGGAGAGCGGCGAGCTGGCCCCCGACGCCGCTGGCGCCCTTCGCGCAGTCCTGAGTGGCAATGTCGTCACCGAGACTGTGGCAGCCAAATGGGGCCAGCCCGAGCGTTGCCCACATTGCGGCGCGCCGCGGGAGGACCGGCAGCATCGGTTTTGGGATTGCCCCTGTTGGTCCCCAGCCCGCCGCGCGGCGCTCGCAGCAGGGGGGTTCTCGCCCGCCGCCCTGCTGGCCCGGCTGCCGCCGGGGGGTGCTAATTCGGGCGTCCTCCTTCGGGACCCCCAGATGGCGGCGGTGGCCGCAGTGGCAAGCGCGCCAAATGCCGGCGCCGCCGATGACGGAGCCCGCCGTGGCTCAGCCGGACCAGCCGCCGCGCTGCAGGGCTTGGACGGATGGAGCGTGCGAGCACCCCACGGACCCTCTGCTGGCGCGCGCGGGTTGGGGCTTTCAGCTGGAGCGCCCGGCGGCCCATGGCACGACGCGCACGGAGCATTGTGGGCCCGTGGGCGGGACGCAAATCGCACAACGCGCGGAGTTGACCGCCGCTCTGCGCGCGGTCAGCGAGGCCGGCCAGCCAGTCGAGATCATCACGGATTCCAAATCCGTGGCCCATGGCATTGCGGCAATCCGCCAGGGCGCCTCGGCCTGGGATTGGGCGCATGCGGACTTGTGGGAGCGCCTGGCGCCTCACTGCAGGACCAGTTTCGTCATCGCGCGCTGGGTGAAGGGGCACCTCGATGACGAGGGGGCGGCGGCGCGCGGCGTGACAGCCGAGGACCGCCACGGTAATGCGGCAGCTGACAGGCTGGCTGGCACTGCTGCCAAGGCTCGCCTGCCGGCGGCGGCCCTGCTGCAACGGCGGC